GATAATTTAGAAGTTTCATCTGGTCTTGTTGAGATATATAGTTGAGTATCATCAGCATAACAGTGGAAACTAATCCCATATTTTCTAATAATATTACCAACAGGCAACATGTATATTGAAAATAGCAGAGGATCTAGGACAGATCCTTGTGGCACTCCATATTTTACTGGTGATAATTGAGATGACTCCCTGTTTAAATAAACAAAGTGGTAGCGATTGGACAGGTAGGATCTAAACCATCTTAAAGCCTGCCCTTGAATACCCGTATAGTTTTGTAATCGATCTATGAGTATGTCATGATCTATAGTGTCGAATGCAGCACTAAGATCAAGTAAAACTAGCAATGAGATGCAGCCTTGGTCTGACACAAGAAGCAAGTCATTTGTAATTTTAACAAGTGCCGTTTCTGTGCTATGGTGGGGCCTGAAACCTGAAATTCTTCATAGAGATCTTTTTTTTTGCAGGAAGAAGCACAATTGAGCAGACACAAATATTTCTAAAATTTTAGACATAAATGGAAGATTTGAAACGGGTCTGCAATTTGCCAGTTCACTAGGATCAAGTTGTGGTTTCTTAATAAGAGGCTTAATAACCGCCAGCTTGAAAGGTTTTGGGACAACTCTAACAACTCTTTCAGTAATTTAGTTGGTACAGGATCTAATAAACATGTTGTTGGTTTAGATGCAGTGATAAGTTTATTTCTGTTATGACAACTCAGAGGGATTGGCATGGTAATGTACATGACAATGTTAATGTATTTGGTCTTGGCGGTATAGATCTGCTACGCTGCTACGGCAGAGCAAGTACCGAGACTTGCTACTGCCAATACATCCACAACATGCTGCTGTGAGCATGTAAGAAATATTGCTGCTGTAAATATAACATACATGAAATAACCCCCATATAGCATACATGAATCACCTCGTAGCAGATCTATACAGGTGGAGCTGGGGAAGGTGGAGGGTTGCTGAAGCAAACTGCTACGGCAAGCACTAGTCATTTGAATGTTGAGCAGCGAGCTCATTGGCTACCGATACAGGAGAGAACCAATCAGCTGTGCCATGTGATAATGATGTCATTAGGTCAGATTGAGTTAGACCTATCAGACTGCGCCATCTAGAGTTTCATGCCAGAACTCTGTATTTAGCTCTTCCTGTCCTATAGTTGTAAAGCACTGCAGTTTTTCTTTGGGTGTCATTTCGTCTAGTTCATGTGTATTTATGGGTACAGAAAGCAGTTGCATTTAGCAGATGCTTTTATCCAAGGCGTCTTAAAAATGAGGAATACAACAAGTGATTCATCTTAAGGAGGCAATAAACAGGAATATTATACGTGCTAATACAAAGTTTCAGACATTGTTCAGAATAGTACAAGCCTTGAAAGCTTGAAAGAGGGGGATTAAAGCTGATTAATTGTTCAGATGGATGTAGTTAGGAAGTCAGATTACAAAAGTAAGAATTCTATACATATAGGCAGAATAATGAGCTGTAATTTAACCTAGATGTCATTGTATATCCTAAAATCGAATCTCTCAACTACTTCTTCACATATCATCTGTGTCAGAAGAAATACTTTAAATAATTATAGTTCACTGGCTTCTACAGCTGCCTGTAACACCAGACATGTTCAATTATAAAAAAAAAGACCTTCCAACAATTGGTAATGCAGAACACAAAACAGATCATTTTCAATGAAACTGTCTGAAAAAGTGAACAAAAGAAGACGCTTTTATGAAGGGATGATGTTTCTTGCTTACCTCAAAACTGGTTCGGGAACACAATAAACAATACCTGGGGGCGGGGAGGAGATAAACCACTGTGTGCCTGTAGTGTTGTACCTTATCAGAGAGACATGTTGTTTTGTTTGAGAACAGACAGGAACATATCATCAGGAGGTTTCCCTGCATCTACTCATACTATTGCCACTCCCATAGTCAGAAATGTAGACAAAAAAACTACATTCATAAAAGAAACAAAGCAAATCGATTCTAATAAATACTTAACCAATAGAGTTTAATAATTCTGAGGAAATAAGTCTCTATATCTCACAATTAAGATTCTTACCTTTCTCCCTCAAAGACAGTTTACACCTCTCAATTATGTTTTTTATTTTTTATTCCATAAGGTAGTCATATATAAAAGGAACCAAACAAATGCATACTTTCATAGAGTTCTAATAATATTATTTATTTATATATTCCAGCATATAATCTCCACTCTCATAAATATTAAATGTGCTGGGTGAAATTTGAACAGCAAGAGAACAAAGAATTGTCACACATGCTTCTTTACAATTAGGCTGTAACTGTTTAAAGTACCAACAATACTCGGTGTGCAAGCAACAGTATTAATCTGTACAGATAGTATGAGACTCAATCTAAGCCTATTACTATTTAGACAAATTGACTTAATCACAGATCTTATATTAACAGTAATATGCACAGTAATTGCCCAGTAATACCACTTACATATATGTATACAATCAAGTCCAATTTCATATATTGTACAGAATATACAGAACCAGTTATAATGGCAAATAGATAGATATAAAACTGATTAATCAGAGCTTTGTAGAAGGTAAGGTCCCACTTTATATTAAGTGGCCTTAACTACTATGTACTTACATTTAAATTAATTATTTGGTACAATGCACTTATTGTGTACATACATGTTTTACATTGTACATATATTTAAAAAAAAACCTGCATGTAATTACATCTGTAATTAATTTCTATAATTACATTAATAATTACACTGTTGACCCATCCCTTTCATCTTAACCCACCCTTAAACCTACCCATACCCCCAAACCTGTCCCTAACCTTACCTGTATCCCACCACAATAGCAGCAAATGTGTTTTGCAATACAATATAAACGCAATATGTACATCGTACTTATTTTTTGATGTAAGTAAACACAGTAGTTAAGGCCACTTAATATAAAGTTTGACCGAAGGTAATAAATCTATTGGTATAAAAAGATCTAAAGTTTGACTTGTGTTATAATAGTGAGGTCCATTGGAAGCCCTGGAGTGAGCAAAATACAGATTACTGGTCAAAGGCAAAAGACTATGATCCCAGTGTAGTCAGCCATTTAATTCCCACAGTTTCATTTGAGTTCTTCTGTTATTCACCATAAAATTTGTTTATATATTCTTCATACATTTTACTGACGACGGGTCTTTTGAGCTTCATGGTTGGACCTGAGAAAAACAACAACAACAAAAACTTCACATTCAAATCTAATAGATCCATCAGACTGTTTACATCAGGGGTCTCCAACCTTTTTGTGAGGCCCCCTGAATGGATAAGCACGCGCACTTAAAACGTGTCTCTCCTCTCACTCAAACTGTGTCCTGTGCTCTCTCAAATCTCTGTGCTCATGCACTATAGATATTAATTGCTGGTTGCTGTAACATTTATTTCTGTTGTGATTAATCCATATTGAGTAAAAATGTCCAGAGTTTATCATCGTTATTAACATAAATTTTATCATAATCTCGATATGATATCATTTATGGCCCGGCTATTTATAGAACGTGCTTGGCGGGCGACTCAGAGACTCCATGCGGGCTACCAGATGGTACACGTTGGTGACCACTGGTTTACATAGTTGACAATAATTATGCGTTTAGGAATGCAGTTAGCCAAATATATGTTCAGTATGTTCTGTAAAGAAACACGTGAGACCTACTGATACAAATGTTTCTCATAGTTGTAAAAGTACTTCTGCAGTACTTAACAAAAATATAATAATCTTGGCCATCCATGTATTAGATACAGTTTGTCAATAAACTCACTTGTTCTGTTTTATATCCTTGTCTATATGAAGAAATAACACTCACCAAGTTCTCCGCCAGATATGGAGAAGTCTCGTTGAACGATGGTCCACTTCTGGACTCTCTGGGCATTGGATGTGGCTTTGGCATTTACACGGTCTATGCCCTCCTGGATGGTTTTGTAAATGGCTGGTTCTTTTTTGTTAACGATCTCAGAAACTTTGCTGGCAATTACACCGTGCTGCCGACAATACTCCACCGCTAATGGGGTCAGTTCATCTGTGGGGTCTCCATTGTCATCAACGTTACACTAAAAATAAAAGAAAATTAACAATATACATTGTGAAAAATGGAGATTTAGCAAAGATTTTTTGATAGTTGATGGTATGAATGTATCAGTTGGTAAAATATGCACATTTAATGGTCTCATTAAAATAATAGTTCACACAAAAATTAAAATTTGCTAAAAAAAAAAAAATTCTCACCCTCAGGCCATCCAAAGTGGTGAGGTTGTTCCTTCATTGGAACAGGTTTGGAGAAATTTTGCATGACGCAGGGGCGTAGATTACGCGGGGGACGTGTCCCCCTCACTTTTAATATCACGTAAATTCGTCCCCCGCACTTTTTCGGGCAAGTGTGTTCGCATAGAGGTTTTCAAGAGCTGGTGTGAATAAATATAGATTTAAATTCAAAGAGACAGGATAGTCTGTGCATGATCTGATGTTTTATTCGGATCCAGAATAAGGCGAGATGAACATCGCGGAGCGCTAAACACTCATGCAGTGTATGTTTCATTCATACTCGTAGCCGGAGGGCGCTCTCGCGCAGAAAGTCGTACGAGGGAATGGACAGAAGCGTCCAGCTACCGCTGTATGAACAGTTGTTTTCACAGAAAAACAGAAACGTTTGGAAACATGAAGATATTAACCATACGATTGCGACAATACACAATATATGGTTTATTTGTGTTTGTCAAGTCATCTCCAGGTAATAAATAAAGTATATGAACAATGCAGTGCTAACTGACATAGCATTTATTACAGTATAGAAACTATTCTGCATTATTATGTGATACAAAAGTGTTTGTAGTATATAAACAAATCATTATTATTGGTTATTGTCCAGCAGTTAT